GACTCTGCCCCACTCGTCATCTCAATATCTTTCCTTGCTGATGCTCTCGTCTCCCTCATCTCATCCTCTTGCTCATCTATCATTTCCCTATTTTGCCAGTCTGTCCTGATCTCATCTGGGATTGGCTCTGGCTTTCTGAACAGCTGATGCAATGGGCTCATCATCTGTCCAATTATATATTATTGTTACTGCCATTATCATTATTATTTTAATGCCACTAGTGGTATTTATGTTTTGCTCAGGCAAGATCTTTGAAATGACCTCTAAAATAGCCTATGTTTTTTAGATTACAATTATTTAGCATGCAGCTCTTTAACCCTGTACTTTCTAGCATGGTCCAGGTCCTCGCATCTCATATTTGGTGATCATCACTTAGGCCTACCTGCCCTTTGTGCCTCCTCCTGGTCCACATTTTCCTCACATAGTCTGGATGCTTGTGACTGCTCCTCCTCATCTTAAATGTAATGTAATTTTAAAACATTGCCATTAGTAGGTTAAAATATGAGTCTGATTAAATAATCAATTCACCTACACATTGTCATGTCATCTTTATCTCAGTGCATTGAATGTCTCTCACCTGCTGCTGGTTGGCTTTTTCGCAGCCAACCCTGCAGTGATGTGCTGCCTTTTGCTGCCTCCCTGAATTGTCTCTCCCTCTCCTGAATCCGCCTCTTTTCAGAGGGCATCTTGGCTTCAAACAATCCCCAAAATAGAGATGTGATAGGATTTATGCATTTAACCATTTTAAATTAAATAATTAATGTGATGCATTACTTCCATCATTCATTCTTCTTGCTAAAACGAAATGTGATAAACTAACTATCAGCAGACATGTAGTTTAGTTTGCATAATGCCTACCAAAAAATAAATAAAAATAGTAGCCTAGGCTGCTTGTCTGCAAGCTATCTGTCTGATTATTTAGGCTAAACGTGGCAAACTCAGCCTGGATTCAAGAAGATTTTAATTAATTTCATAAAACGTGATGATTGATCGTTCGTTACTTTGTTTGTTATACATCACAAACTCACCTTTTCCGACAACCGCGAGAATCTCCTTCTAGGACCGCTCATGCAGGCTCACCTCAAGTGCCGGTGTATTAGCGCGCAGCCCGCTCTGTGTCTGCTGACAGAGCAGCTGTATGTACGGAAAGCAAAAATGGCCAAAAAGCATTGGCGCAACATTTAATTGTCTTGTCTTGCTTACATACTGCAGGATAATAAAATGGTTCTCAAACTCCAGTAATAAATATTTCAGTGAATTTAATTAATCTTACACATGTTCATAGTTTTTGTATTATGTCTGAGTATATTCAGTGAAATTTTGCCCATACAAATTGCCTTATCTGACCGTGTTTATGTCCAAACAAACTTAACGCCTTATATTAGGGTCCGTCTTATTATTATTTATTTATTTATTTATTTTTTATTATTTATATTGCAAAACGTCAGAGTGAGATGACAGGTTTATGATATACAACTTTGTAAACACTAAACACAGTATCCAAAATGTATTAACAATATAAATGTCACCAAAATACATATGAGAAAAAGAGTTCCTTATATTATTGTTTATTGTTTTTTTAATCATTATTATTTTTATTTTTTTTCCTTTTTTTTTTATTTGAAAATAAATAATCTAGATTGAATTGACAGATGGGGAAAACTCGCTTCTAATAAAATATTAAATAAAAAAACGCTTAGATTTCGGAAAAAAATACAATCCTTTTTAACCTTTTGGCTTCCCGTACATTCAGTTGCGCTTCTAGCTCGTATTCACGTCTGTTGGTACGTATCACGTATGGTAACTGGGCAAAACTACGCATGATTTGTTGTAGTATGATTGCATAAAGGAAGGAAACAGGAATTCCAGTAGGGAACAGAATCGACTGACGTGCAGGCAGCGCTGCAGCAGTGCAGCCACTTAAACAGAGTTTGCCCTTCCCCTACTGACTTTCACTTTCGGTGCCCGAATGGAAGTGAATGAGGCTTTGCGATCGCGATTATTTTTTTATTTTATTTTTTTTTCTCGGAAGGGCGAGTCGGAAGGGCAACTTGAGTCAGGAAAGGCAAACGGGCAGTTGCCCGGGCAACCAGAGCAACCCCCCTGTGCACGTCCCTGAACCTCATTGTCATTGTAATGGAGCCAGACCTTTCGTTTGTAAAAACGTTTGAAATTGTGAATGCCTTGACACTGCTTTAATTCAAGCCCCAGATTATTCCACAAAGTAACCCCACAAACAGACATAGAATAACTCCTCCTGGTGGAACTCGCCATTGGTACCGCAAAGTTTCCAAAACCTCTCAAACTGTACGACTGCTCCTTATGAGAAAACATATTTTGAATGTTCACAGGTAATAAATAGTGATACGCTTTGAACATGAACTGTGCATTATAAAATTTTACAAGATCCTGCATTTTTAATAGCTTTGATTTGAGAAAGAGAGGATTTGTGTGTTCAAAATAGGCAGCCTTGTGTATAATTCGTATAGCTCTTTTCTGTAGCAAAAAAAGTGACTGTATTACATATTTGTAATTATTGCCCCATACCTCTATCCAGTAGGTTAGATATGGCTGTATTAAAGCACAATACAGGGTATGGAGTGCCTTGATGTCAAGGATATGCTTAACTCTACTTATTATAGCAAGGCTTTTGGAGACTTTTGTTGTTATATGTCTGATGTGGGCATTCCAACTTAGCTTGTTGTCTATTGTTACACCTAAAAATTTTATTTCCTGAACATTTTCAATGTGTACTCCGTCTATGTCAACCAGTTTCTGCGAATCAGCTTGATACTTTCCAAAAAACATCACTTTAGATTTATCTAGGTTTAAGGATAATTTGTTACTTTCCATCCATTTTTTAAATTTACTTAGTTCTTTGTTTATAACGCTAATCAGTCGCTCCAAACTATCGTTACTATAAAAATATTTGTATCATCAGCGTACAATACACATTTAACCAATAGAGAAACATTGAAAATATCATCAATATATAAGTTAAATAATTTGGGGCCCAATACTGACCCCTGCGGGACACCACAAGCAATGTCAAGACATCCAGAAGAGAGCTCACCCATTTGGACAAACTGTACTCTGTCGCTCAAATAACTTTTCACCCATTTCCCAGCAACCCCCCGTATTCCATATCGTTCTAATTTCTTAAGTAATATATCATGATTAATGGTATCAAAAGCTTTTTTAAGATCTATAAAAATTCCTATTGCAAGTTTTTTGTTTGTTAGAGCCTTCGATATTTCTTCTGTAGCGTCAATTATGGCCATCGAAGTTGATCTCAAGGCAAATGTCCGAACAAAGGTTAATCTAAACGGATCATAATACACAGGGAATACAAGAAGCACTGACAGAGTAATCCAAAATGAGGGATAAACCAGAAAACCAGGGAAACACAGAATACAGAGTGGAATACTCAACATAGACGACAAGGACGTCTAAACACAACTGAGGCCAATGTATAAACACGGAAACAAGCAGGGAGGGAAGCACAGCTGAAACACATCAGATAATCAACAACAGGAACCAAGCCAAGGACACCAGAGAACAGAATACTACAAAATAAAACAGGAAGTAAAGCATCTGGAAACACACAGAGACAGAGTTACCAAAGTAAAACAGAAAACGGGAAGGAACCATAGACAGTATATTACTGGACGAAGCCACCCTGTTGATTTGAATGGAGAGGAGAGAAGACAGTTTTGAACCAATAAAATACCACTACAGTGCTTCCTGTTGGCACCAGCGTCTACTGCGCATGATCGTGCAGCATAACTGTGGTTTAATGACGTAGAACAACGGCAGAAACACCGTAATTCTGGTAGCTGCGTAGCTGCACCAACAAAACGTTTCATGGCATTTTTTTTTTTTTAAGGTCATCTTTTTTGCAAAAAGGTTGTTACAATTCAGATGTGACTTATAAAGATATACATAACAGTATAAGACACAGACAAAATTATATGAAGCTTTGCCAGGGGAAGCTTATAAGCTATTACAAGGAGAAAGAGGACAATATGTTGACAGTTTTAACCGCCTGTTTTGTTTGTTGGAGCCAGAAATCAAATTAATATAAAGCATAATTTCATGGAGAAAAGTATAAAATTAGGTTTTTAGCACTGAATTTACATTTATGAATGAGGTATCTTGCCAACAGAATTAATAAATTTATAATGAAGTACAACTTTTCTTTACTTTGACTTCTATAAAAGCAAAATACAACATTCTTCCACAATAAGGCAAAGTCTTTATAGATATGGTCAATGATAAATCTGCTGAGGTTTTGCCAAAATGTTCTGGTGTGTGAGCAAACCAAAAAAAGTGCAAAACTCGTCTCTTTTAAATTAAATCATGTAAAAAAACAAAAGAAAAAAGTTCCATGGCTCAGTGTGTTTGTCTGACTCTGACATCACTGATTAATCAGCCCAGCTATGAGGCTCACCTGTGAAACACCAAGGCAGTGTCACTGATGGCCGAATATTTTGCTGAGAGCTTATAATCTAAGCAATACGGTTACATCTCTCATGTGCAACGGGTTGTCACAGGGTTTTGACGTCATTTTTGGGTCTACATGGATCCCACCATGCAGGCTTTGGTCGGCTTCACTGTCCGATCTCTGGCTAACCCCCTTGGGAACAACTGCACAACAGAACAAACCAAGGCAAGGAACAGAGACAGGACCAAACAGAAAACAGGACTACACTAACATGGAGACGTAGTCCTCCACTGGTATTGATGAAGCTGTGTGTAAATGATGAAATGCTGTAGTTTGTCTCTGTGTTGAGGTGGACCAGTGATCCTGCAGAGTCCTGTCCTCCCTGTGATGGAGGGACATGATGTCACTCTGCACTGTAAAACAAAGACCTCTCCCTCCAACCTCCCAGCTGGTTTCTATAAAGATGGCTCCCTCATCAGGACTGAGCCTACAGGTCACATGACCATCCACCATGTTAACAAGTCTGATGAAGGCCTCTACAAGTGTAACATCAGCAGTCGTGGAGAGTCTCCATCCAGCTGGATCTCTGTCACAGGTGAGGAGCTCAAAGATAATTCTCAAACTGACCTTGTTTTGTTTTCTACATTGAGTTCAGCAGGTTTCAGGACAGCAGAGATGATTCATGATGTGACAACATTTCTGAGTTCAACCCAACGTTTGATACTCTGATCTGTTTAACTCAGCAGACAGTGGTTATGAATTTGTCTTTCTGTTAGCATGTTGTTGAATAATTTATAATTTTATTTTATTTTCTGGGCCTTTAATTATAAATTCTTGTTCATTTTAGTGAAACCCACCACTACAATTCCTCCTTCAACCACCTCTCCTCCTGGTTCCTTCTCCTTTCCATCAGCCTCCTCTCCTCATGGTTCCTCCTCTACTCCTCCCTCTGTGTTGTGGTCTGCTGTTCTTTCCTTCTCTGTTCTGGTTGTACTGGTTCTGCTGGTTCTACTGGTGAGACGATGCCTCTACTGGAAACCTAAAGGTTAGACACAGACTTCATGTGCTGCAGTTCACATTTAAAGTCACATTTTACTGTTGACACATTTCTATTAACACTTCTGTACATACAAATAATAACAAGTTACAAACTGTTTTTTAAGTCAGACGTCCATCTGGATTCTCATGAATCACACTGATGTTAATAAAACAATCTCACCACAGGGTCCATTAGGTGAGCTGTGGAGCTTTTGATTGAAATCACATGATCTCCTTTGATTTAAATTTCTGCTCCTTTTGGTTCATTCAGCTTTTGAAGAAGAAGTTGGGGATGATGACATCACAGAAGACGTCACATACAGGGATGTCAAAATATCACATCACCTACAGCAGCCAATCAGACGCAGCAAAGGTAACAATGTTTTACCGATTCTCTTTTTCAGGGACAGTTACTGTGCGTTCTTGTTCTTATGTCTTTGCGAGGACCAAGTTGAGTTTTAGACCTTGATAGGACATTTTGGAAAGAGACATGAGGACATGTTTATAAAATGAGGATACATTAAAAAGAATGTTCATCGGAATAATTGAATGTAAAATCAATCACCATAACGTTTCAGGTTGGTTTGTCTGAGCCAGCAGATTTGTTTACAACAATGTGCCAAATTTTAAGCTATGTGTCAAACTAAGCTAAACAGTTATAGTGCTTTCAGACCAAACGGGTTGGGGACGGTGTCCCAAACTCAATGCAAATACGCAAAGAGACGCGATTTGGACACGCGGTGTGGAGGGGGAGATATAAAGACACATAGTCGGACTGGATTATGACCTGACAACTTTGCTGTTTACCCACAGGAGGAACTCAGAGATAACTGCTTTTATTACATGAACTCTAACTTTCATTTTTGGGATTTAAATGTAGATTTAACTTCCCTCGCGCTTCTCGGCAGCCACTGTTGTTGTTAACGTCGGTTGGCACCCAGAGCTCTGTGGGACTGCTGCTTCATATTTATATAAAAACCTGACAAAACTGAACATTGCTTGGAGAAAAGAAAGCGAGAAAGTTGAACTATCTGGTAAGTTTGTAAAATATGTGTCTGTTATTTCCAGCTATCGTTGTACTTTACTGTGAACAGGTTAACATAGCACAGCCCTGATTGATCTGAACTCCATTGAGAAAACAGACATTTTAAAAGTTATTGTCCTGCTGTCTTGCTGACAGACCTGACAAAGCAGGAATTCATATGTTTAACAAATCTGCATCATATTGTAGTTATTTCGGCGTCAGTTTGATCCGTTTATTTCAACTAAATAACAGCAAAATGTTTACTTTGGGTTCATACAGCTGTAGAAATCGCAGGTTGTGTTCATCCGCATTATCGCGTTGTGTGTGAACAGTTGGCAATAGTCCAGCGATAAAACCCCTGCGAGGAAAACGACGCCAGGATTGCATTTGCTCTAAATGCACAGTAAGACTGCAGGACCAAAGTTCTCAGGGCAGGATTATCTATGATTGACAAGTCGTTACCACGGCAACCTGTCAATCAGGCTAGATTGACTTGAACCCATGGCACTGTGTAAATTTAACCTGCTTCGTTGAAAAAGCTGTTCACTTTCTCTGGTGAGACAATTTACTTTCAAGGTTGTTGTTCGCTAGACAAAGTTAACATCCCTGTTAAAATGACAGTTAACGTGAATTACAGATGCACCTAGCTAAGCAACCTAGCGAGCTCCGCACACGGCCGTTAGATCCGCTGTCTCATCAAATTCGGGGCACTTCCTGGTTGCAAAAACTCAACATGGCGGCCACCTTTCGACCAAACACGAGGCTTCACAACAGTACAGTTTATAGTTACAACTGACCCATAACTCAACCATCCCCGGTCTCTCCAACCTGAAGTAATGTAATGTTTATCTGTTTTATTTTCCAGAGTGTTATTCAGTTGCAGTCTACTCAGCAGTGAGAGGAACAGGTGACGTCAGTTCTGGACAAATAGCCGACAGACCACACAGGACGAGAGGTACAGCTGCTCTTTATTTATGACAGAGCTATGCTAGCTGTTTCCCCGTGCTTCCAGTCTTTATGATAAACTTAGCTAACCACAACCTGACTCCAGATCAATCTTCTCATCTCCCAGAGAGAGAGGGTGTTTCCAAAATATTGAACTGTTCCTTAAAAGAGATGTTGGCGGAGGATCTCTAGCTCAGGAGGGTAACTTACATATCCAGTCCAATCCAACTTTATTTAAAAACAACCAGGTTGACCAAAGTGCTGCACATTGACATGAATCAATAAATAAACAAAGCATTAAAAGCCAAGTGGTAAAATTTTGTTTTAAGTCGTGATTTAAAAACTGGAAGGCTGGGGGCCAGTCTGACATGGAGAGGCAATTCATTCCACAGTTTCAACTGAGAAAGCTTGATCCCCGCTATTCTTGAGCCTTGTTTTAGGGACAACAAGAAGTGACTGGTTTGCAGACTTTAATGTCCTTGAAGGAACATGCGGTTTCAAGAGATCAGCAAAATAGGCTGGAGCAAGTCCATGAAGGGCTTTAAAAACAAACAATAGAATCTTAATATCAATCCTAAAGTGAACTGGGAGCCAGTGAAGGCAAGAACTGGGGTGACTCGCTTACGAGTTTCTGTAAAGACACGAGGAGGAAGGCCTGGCTAACACCTAAATACAAAGCATTATTATAAAACGAGTAGCACAAATCAAGCAATCTGATTGGTTCATAACAGTGATATGATGAGCGTAACGTTGAATTCCTTTGCACAGATCCGTATCACTCCGCGACAAACAGGGTTTGAGTAATAATCTGAGCTTCATAGCCCCATTTACACCTGGTATTACGTATTTTACCAGCGGAGATAAATAATGAGAGAAAGAGAGAGAAATCATTGCTTTTTCTGTGATTCAACATTTCCCTCTCTCACACACGTAAACGCACAAACACACACAGCAGTCCACTACTTGCCCCAGATGTTTGCGATATTGCGACAAAGTTTAAGTTTCAAAAGCCTGTCCGCCCTTTATGGTAGGTATAATATTAAAGTGTCATTATTTTACACACTGCTGGCCGCTGGCACTCAAGAGCAAGCATATTACAAGTTACCAAAATCAATCTACTGACGCTGGACAGTTTTTAGTGGCTGCACAATAAACGGCAACGGGCGTAAATAAATAGTTATATAGATAATTCTCGCCTTTGATGTATGTTGTTCTTTTTATGCTGGGGTTACTACCCGAAACCCGAAGTTACGTAGTGCCAGTAAAAGCGATACAGACACCGACAGGCTATGGCAGACGTGTCATTCCACCTACTGTAAGTCAATGTACCATTCGTTTTTTTTATATTGAATTGAAACATAAGGTTCCAAAGTGCCCAGGTCTATTTGAGGGACATCAGAGGTACCACTTGGTCTAGATATCATGACCTTAGTTTTACTCTCATTGAATTTAAAACAATTAAGGCCATCCAGGCTGTAATATCTTTAAAACAGTCAACTGATCTTTTTAAGGAGCCACCACCTTTTATTTTAATGGGCAGGTAGATTTGCTAAGCATCTGCAAAAAAATGGTCAGAGGACGGAACAAAGCCGCGGTTCACACGCAGTCTGTGTGAGTCTGGGGTGATAGGCTACATGGCAGCCTAAGTCCGCCCCTCAGAATTCCCATGATGCATAGTGGTGAAGGGTGTTTTTGTTAAAATTTGCTAAAAGGTTTTCCATCTGTTTTAAATATAAATGTTACTTTATGATTAATGTATTTTTAAAACGTGCCTGGTTAGAATATAGTGGGGGATTTTGTAGATAATTGTCATTCTTGTGGTGGTTTACTATTGAAACCAGGAGTGAAGGGACTGTTTCATTTGATAGGAACAGTTAAATATGTATTTCTTAGCCGTTGATAGTGAACTGTATGCAGTGTCCTGCATGGCAAGCATAGACTTTGGGTTCCACACTGAGCTGGGGCACTGGGCCAGTTGTCCTCGAGACCAAGTCCATGCAGTAATTAAAGATATCAGGGTGTGAATCTACTGTGCATGTGTGTAACGTGCTTACCTATCTGACTGCAGAAAGTAGTATAAACAGAAAACAGAAGTAGTTAGTGTCCACCCCCGAGTATATTTGATGCTTAACGGCAAGCCACCGGGAAATATCCCGACTCTCCCAATGGCCAATCCGTCTGGAACCTGCCTTTCCATGGCCAAGCTTTTAAAAGACGTTTTCAATTGGTGACCCATTAACTCTGGTCGTATCAGTGTCTTCAAAAAGTCGGGTTGTCCAAAACATCTTGTGGAAGTGAGGCTTAGCAACTCTGTGTCTGTGTGTAAATTAACATGAAATGAAAAGCATTTAAAACAAAATCTGAATTATGTTTATTATACATGCTCAACAGGAAATTGCAACCAAAAGAAAGGACGCAAGAGGATTTAGAAGAGAAGAGGAAACAAAGATGTTGGCGGGAACAGGGATTTATAAAACTGACAAATGTTGCAATTAACGCTTAAAGCATAATTATCACAACATTGTCTACTGTGTGTAATGCAGGGGATTAGTGTTGATGGAAAAAGTTATTTATTTTGCTTATCTGCAAGAGTTGAGGAACAGAGTTAACCAAGTTAGTGTTAACGGGGAAAATACCGGGCTTATTGGGACAGGAACCGCTAGAGGTTTATGCAATCTCTGCTATATTCTCTGATATTCATTTTATGTATCACTCCTGGCATTTGATATTTATTAATAATTCAGTTTACTCCAACATCTATTATCTTTGACAAATTTTTTGTTATATTGTGTTTGTTAAATTGTAATCTTTTGTATCTTGTTGCATTTATTGTAATCTATATTTTATATATTCACTTTTAATATTCACTTTTCAATAAACATTTGTAAAATTCAATTAACAGGGATCTACACACAAGACTGTCATAATTGCCATACATAGATATGAATCATCTTTGGCACTGTTCCATCAAGCCCTGCAAAATTTGTAGAAAATGTAAAGGTGTTGTCGGTATCAATAAAAACAGAAGCTACAGCTTAAGAAAACCCTTCACACACACACACACACACACATTTGAACAGGGCTGGACTGGTAATTTGGCAGACCGGGCAAATGCAGTTGCTTCAACATCAGCTGCAGTATCTACGGGCAGGCACAGGCACTTGAAGGAGTAAAAGGCCTGTGGTGGCCACTGCCAGGCAGAGGAGGAGGCGTGTGTTAGTGAAACAGAGGGACAAAGGGCCGAGAGAGAGAGAGAGAGCAGGAGGAGAGTGTAGACGAAGAGGTAAGCATGGAGTTGCTCAACCTGCCAATAGTATGAAGCTGCAGTACCGGAGGCTGCAGTTTCAGGATCCCGCAATCCTGGGACCGCAGTTCTAGGACCCTAGTTCTTTTTCGACAGCACCATCTAGTGGAGTGGTGGTGGTAATGCACAGCAACGCGAAGGAGGTTAATCCTGTCTGCTTGCACGTCGGCCGTGACCCGCCACCTGAATTTTGTGCTTCCCTTTATAAAAATAAAGACATTTCACCCATAAATTGGTGCAGAAAATGTCTCCAGAATGCAGGAAATTAAGTGTTTAATGCTCAAAAATAAGGGAGTACTCAGGATCTCCCTTGATGCATTGTGTTCCAGTGTGGTTATGGAGCAGGCTTTTTAAGCCACCTGTCGCCCAGACCCTGGAGACTGCTTGGCCTGTTATGCTAGAGCTCACTGCAGAGATGACAGTGAGGCTGATACCCTCAGAGGTGGGTGGTTTTGCCTGCCGATCAACTGATGCTATTTGTGCCCTGCTTTTATGTGGATTTTTATTAAACTCTCTTTCAGGTGGATGGGCCCTATAAATGTTTTTTGCCGACTGCTCGGTTCTGCTAAGGGTGTTGCAAGTTTCTTTTTTTGGGCTATCTGATTTCCCTCAGCGCTTTGGTCCTTTTTTCCCTCTTTTCTATGACAGAATGGTCGACTGTGAGCCCCTCTTGATGTAACAGGGAACGGCAAGACAAGTAGCTAGCAACTAGCTTAGCGACATCAGTTGACCCTACAAGTGTTCGCTGACCTTCCAGCTCTAGTTCTTTCTCCCACGTAACTGTCCTTGTTAGTGAGACGACCATTAGACTGATAAGGTAGAGACAGTAGCTCAGGAGTCAGGCAAGGATGAGTCTTACAAAAATGTTTACAGAACTTTAGTTTACAGATTAGAGTACAACTCATGGAAAGTAATAGATTACAATATGATGTAGCATTGAAGAATAAACATCAGATAGATTAGTTTTTCTAGGTAGAGGGAAACCTACAGGAACTAGGGGGAAGACAGAAACATTAAAGGGACCAAAAGATGTTCTCCTTCAGATTTAGTGTTGGCATATGACATGTTCACGTGTTGTATGCTGGCACTGTGTCTCCTCGGCCGGGCTTATCAAACCATGCTATGTTAAGTCTTCATCAGTCTCTGAAACTTCTTCACACCTGAACCTGGATCACAATATTTCTTCAACATGAACCCCGCACCACTTTCCTCGGTAGATTTACAAGCGGCGTGGTGGTGCAGTGGTTAGCACTGTTGCCTCACAGCAAGAAGGTCCGGAAGTGCCAAAGATGATTCATATCTATCTATGGCTTCCCCCCACTATCCAAAGACATGCAGACTCTAAATCCTTAGACGTGAGTGGTTGTTTGTCTATGTGTGGCCCTGCGATGGACTGTCCAGGGTGTACCCTGCCTTTCGCCCAATGTCAGCTGGGTTTGGTTCCAGCCCCCGCGACCCTGTACGCAGGATAAACAGGATATAGTTCCCAGAATTCAGACACTCCTGGAGCGAATGAAGATGACGCGACTCTCTTTATAAAAGGTCTCTAGCTCCACCGTCTCGTCCAAATATGGTCACGTCCGGTGCCGCTGGTTGCAAAACCTCAACATGGCGGCGCCCTATCGGCCAAACTCGAGGTTTCAAAACGGCAGTCCATAAACCAACGGGTCACGATGACTACATCCGTTTCTTATATGGAGTCTATGGTTCTGCAGCCTTTTAAAGGTAGTAGCCTACTGCCATAGTGATCAATGGCTGATGCTGCCAGGTGGTTGTATTAGAGGGTCCTGTTTGTACGTGCGTGCTCTGGGCGGCCATGGTGGAGTATACGGTAGACTGTTCTGGAGGGCCGGTCTGGAAGTCCAGGGCCATGTTTTATTCCCAGTCCGTCCATGTTAATAAGACATGAGCTCCCCTGAAAACACGACTATTGTAATATTTGGGTGGTCTCTAAAATATCGACAATATGCTATTTTTGCGATTCATTTCTATTTTTCTGTAGCCTGTCAACACAGTCTCACTCCCTACTCGTCAAATGTCTGACGCATGGTCAAGGCCCTTTGTCGTCGCTTTTTAAAGACTTGGGTAGCCCTTTTGCATCAATTATTGACGTTTAGGGATCCACAGTCAAGTTAGCAACGCTTAGCAACAATAAATATGCAATATCCGGTTACACTTTCAAGATAAAACGTAACGTTTCGATACATTGCCATGTTGAAACGCGCATAATTAAAGTCGTGAAACGTTGCAGTTTCGTTAGGTTTAGGCACAGAAAGTACTTGGTTGGGTTTAGGCAACAAAACTACTTGGTTAAGGTTAGGAAAAGATCATGGTTTGGGTTAAAATAGCTATGTATGTCAATTAAGACTTAAGTTAACTAACGTTAATATCAATTTACCTCACTCGCCTAAATAAAAACATTTAATGTTTTGTTTCGCACGGGACACAAACCCTGTTCTCCTGCTTCAAGGTCCGGGTTCTGGCCCTCTATCCACCCCAATCACCTCCTTACTTCGTCTTTTCTCTTAAATATCATACTTGCCTTTACCATCAAAAACTGACACAACAGGGCTTCCCTCAATACGTCGAACTATGACGTCAAAGGGATCCCTAGTGCGTCACAAACTGACGATTATGGCTCTTGACCAAGCGTCCATATGTGACGACTTGGGAGTGAGACCGGGTTGAGCCTGTCATCATGGATCATGAGTAAATTAGTGTCGTGCTTCATCCAGCCAGAGGGATCACCAATCGTCCGCAGCGCACCAGTTTGCCCCTATGACCTCCCCCCCCTGCCCTGTAGGCTCCAGCGCCCTCTCTCTCTCCGGCGGTGAGTTGTGTTGCCAGTGGAACCGGCGCACTGTGGACGGTCAGTGGTCGTTCCCTCTGACGGGATGAAGTCAGATCCTCCTAATCTATGTGTTACTGCAGCTCAAGTTTCTACGCTGCGCCGTGCAACTTTCTAAATTCTTCCATCTCACGAAGAAAATAAAGGTGTAGAAACAGTTGAAACAGTGTAGAAAGGGTGAACGGAAATAACCAGAACCTTTGAAGCCGGGTATGATTCGTTAATATACAGCTCACCGATTTAACTAATAGCAGTTCATGTTGGATGTACTGACAACTATCACTGAATTAATTTGATACTGAAGAAATGTTAAAAACTGGGGGTTTCCAACAGGCAACTTCTGAGGCGTTCCTGTTCCTAAAAACACACTTATGTTGATATTCAAGCTCATCTAAATTACATTTAATCAGGCACCGCCATTGCCCAAAAACGACTTGGTTTTTTGTTTTTCCGATTTGGATTTGAAATGAAAAAATGAAAGAATGAACCATACACGGATTCTTGTGATATTTGAGGCGTTAAAGGCTGGTTTCATTGTATGTCTTTTCCAGAGTCTCAGGCTTCTGAACCTCTTCCAATCCAAGTGTGGAACCTATTAAAACTATTATGTTTTCTAATTCTTTCTAATATTTTGTAATCAAATCTGCCACTCAGCTCTATGTACTTGCTGCTTAAAATAAGAGGTCAACCTTTTGGGTATTTTGTTTATTTGCATAGATTTTTTGTTACTAGTCCTTTGTACTATAAATATGAAGCTAGTAGGATAGCTCATAGCAAAAAGTGGAAGATTGTCTGGCGCTGTCCCGAGGTAACAAAATGTGCTTACCAGCACATGTAAAGCTCACATACATGTTATGTATTGTTTGTTTAATTCATACAAAAGACAGGGCAGGGCTGCCAACTTTTCAATTTAGGAGTGAGATTCCGTATTAGAGGTCGGTTCATTGTAGGTTTCTGTGTCATATCAGGTGACTCTTTAATTCAGCATGCTACAGCCACATAAACCAAGTCAATAATGATGGTCAGATCAGTGTGAGCAGGACACTTGCCAACCTAACCATGTACTGAGGAGTCTTCCCCCACAGAATGTGTGTGTCAAAACCAAAGACTGTATTTGTTTTAATTCTTGAGAATGTATGTAATATTAAAGGTTAGTTCATATTTAGCAAGAGTGTATGTTTTTCTTAAGGGGCTGGGGGTCCTCCCCCAGCAAATGTTTTATCATTAAAAACCTAATTTCCTGCATTCTGGTAAAATTTTCTGCCTCAATTTATGTTGGAAATGTTTTTTTTACGGAAAAAACAGAAACACAAAACGCAGGCAGCAGGTGACAATTTAAAATATAACATAACATAGTAGGTGAATGGCTTTCAAGCATTCTGTGTTCTTTTTCTTTCATGATTTAGTCTTCCTTCCATCCCCTGATACATCTTAACCGGGTTGCTGCACCCCCAAACCCCCTCTCTTTCTAGGTTTGCTATATATAAATTTGTTTTTATTATTATCATTTTGAAAGTCCGAATGAATACACAAACAGTCAAACCATGGGTCACAGGAGGGGCAGCACAATGTGGAACACAAATCATTGGAAGAGAGACTGATCCTCGTTGTTTGTGAGTTTCCAGAATCTATTACTGTTTACTAAATAGGACATCAACAGGA